ACCCTTAGTACCTTGCAACATCAACCTATATGTCATATATTTACCGCTAATTTATTGGTCACTAGCTTGGGCTTCAATAGGTAGTTATAGATAACTCACGATGAGTAGGCCTAGCCGATGGAGAAGAAGGGTTTTACCTCAGATAATTTCTCAATCGAGGCCGACACAGCGCCTCAGTGATTTGGCTGCATTGTTCAGGTATGGTACAAAAGACGGATCTAGGCCTACCGTAATTCAGTGGACATATTAAATTAACAAATTTCAATATTTATTTTTCTGATTAACTCTCCACTTGAATCACTTCTAGTCATTATCTAGCATTTAGTTATTAGTTTGTTATAGGCCTATTCGATAATTCACTATATGACTATCTAGATTTTGTCAGTGTTTGTTGTAAACAATAAGCACAAGCGCCAGCCTTTGCAATAAAACTTTGTATAACCTGTGTGTTATGTTATTGTCAAGGTGATACTGGGGATGGTATGTTAAACTGGATAAACATGGTATGGAAAGCAGAGTTTAAATTTCCACACATCAAATTAATATTCCCGTCAGCTGATCCTATGTAAGTTTGAACTGCTTCTGTTGTCATATTTTGTACTATTTTTTTTAGCTTAATGAGCACTAAAACAATAAATATTTACTTTTTTAAAAGTCAATACACTCCTAATAATGGTCAGGTATCTACGGTGTGGTTTGATAAACAAAAAATTTCACCCGTTGTGCCAAAAAATTTATCATCTATAGATGCCTCAGAAACAAAACTGAATGAGCTGATCCAAGTAGAAGTTGATGGTGGAATTCCACTCTCAAGAATTATCATAGGTTGTTGTCTTATTTACATATTTTAGATTTATCAAAATAGAAAAAAAATGTTTGAATTTGCAATAACAACATTTTAATACATGTATATTTCATTTTTTTTTTTATTCTAGATTTTTAAAGAACATACAAATACAATTTTTGTTCCTATTTTGTTAGTACAAAAATTATATATTTAGTATTGAAAGATTTTAATTGATGTTTAAAGAAAATGAAGATTAGAGTTAGAAATTATTATGAAACAAAGAAATCCTTACCTTAAAAAATTGAAACAAATTTGATATGATGTTCGACTTTTTGGTCAAATACAGAAATTTCATCTGTGTTTTTAAAGAAGTTTTCCACTGTGAACATACCTTTAAGATATGCAGTTTTCTTCAGGTGGTTTTTCTATGGGTGGTGCCATGGCATTACATCAAGTATACAGGTATCAGAAGCAGGTAGCTGGCTGTTTTGCCCTGTCAAGTTTTCTAAATGAAGGCTCTGTAGTATACAAGGTAATGATTCTGAAAGTATGCATATTTCTTTTGATCAATTAGTTTTTATGTTTATGAAAAAATACTCTTGGCCTGTGTCATTTGACAGAAATATGCACAGTTGTCTTTCTTGGACCACAAACGTTTCTTAAAGCAGAATTAAGCTCTGCCAAGTTGCAAATTAACAAAGCAATTTTTTCGAGATGAAAATATACATCCAAGTTTCCCAATTGTCATCTTTCAAAATTCGGAATCCAATGGACATGTGTGATGCATGTTCCTGTGCAGTTTTTAAACAAGTAAATTTGCCAATATTTCTTAATATTCCTTACACTGTAGCTAATTTTCCCAAGAATCCTGTAATGTCACAAGATAAATAACTTCATTTTTCCACTTTTTTCCACAAATGGTGTATAAATAATGCTTATATGGTAATAAATATAAATTGTTATTTAGATTTACCTTACATATTGAACTCCTCTTTAACCATTGTTATTTCTCGTTCTTTAATTTTTCTATTTTCAAGAAATTGAAAATATCCAAAACAAGTCATCCCTTCCCCCATTGTTTCAGTGTATTAAACAATATGATATCACTCATGAATTCAGTAAAATGGAACTGAAACTACTGCGAAAGTGGATACTTACGAAATTACCTCCAGATTAAAGACTTGGCTACCTCTGTTATATTTAATTCATGAAATTTAATTTTATTCAATGTAATTATATTAACATGACTTAGGTTTCTTAGATACATGTACTTGATTGAAGTTTGTTTTAAAATCTGTCCTAAATTTTTTTCAGAATTAGGCTGTGTAGGAATCTACGCAAGATTTTAAAAATTTAAACCGGAAATAAACATTAATAATTATACTGACAGACTTTAGAAACGCAATGCTTGAAAATTTACTGTATTGCAAATTGACAGTATTTATAAAGCTACTTATTTCAAGTATATAATATACCATGATAAATGTTCAATGTTCTTTGATTTTTAACACAGAAAGGCAACAGTTGTAAAGAATGTCAAAAAGGTTTGCCTCAAAAATGTGGTTTTGGTCTTCAGTACCAGGTATGCCCTCTGTTGGCATTGATGACGGCGCGAAGTATAAAGTATACTATATTATCGGGGGAGGGGGTGGTGGCTGGTTCCTACGGCCATGCGTGTTATTTATAAAGCTTTAAAGATTCTAAAAGTTTAAGTCTTGAACAGCCGTTGTAGCTAGGTTGACTCTCTCAGGAATTAATTTTATATTATCATGATAAGAAAAAATCTGACACAGTATAAACTAGCAATAATTAATTGCTTTATAATGAACGCGGTGACTTCAATTTTTCTATCGTCAACTTCCCTTGATGCTTAGCACGTGAAATGTCTCCCAGTTGATTCGATACGCAAGAGATGAGCACGAACAAGTTATGAAAGCTCTTGACAAACAAAATGATGAAACAGGGATATCAAAAGCCTTGTTTAAAGTTATTATCTCGCAATTCTATTGTCGATACAATAAACTTGTCAGCAAGCACAATATATAAACATTATATACTATACTTGGTTAATGTTGCCTGATGTTTCTAATACCAATCGTGAGGTAAATATTTACACACTAAATCGTAAATAGATTTTCCGTTTATCCTATTATCATTGATTATGAGAGGGAACACACGAATATCTTGCGTATATGAGACTGGTACAAATAATTAATTGATAAGGATAAATTGAAGTTATTCTGTGCACAGGCGTCAGAACCGGGGGGGGGGGGGGGGGGGGGGGGCTAGGGGGGGGGGGCTTAGCCTCTCCCCTTTTTTGCAAATATATAATTATATAATATAGGATTTGAAAATTGGGGTTTACCTTTTTTTGTTGATTTAGCCCCCCACTTTCAATTAGTTCCCCCTCACTTTCAATTTGCTTCCGACGCATTTGCTGTGTGAATCTGTAAGATATTTATGTTCTCTATCAGACAGTTGCTACGGGAATATTATGAAAAATAGTCCTTTTTCTAAAAATTGTGATGAAGACTGGATAATGATCTCCTGCAAGTATGTAAGTTTTCATGAAAAAAATACAAGATTCAGATTTAATTACCTCAAAACTGTTTATACTCGTACGATAGGATACGATTAATTTACTTATGTAGCAAAACCTTAGTATAGAAAAATGAATAATTTTAATTTTATACGATCTAAGCCTTAAAAGTTTTAAGTATGTGAAATTGTTATCGCCATGGCATGTTCTTTGAGTTCTGTAGCCATGCATTTAGAAAGAGAGATAAAAATACCGTCTTCTTTGTTTTTTCTTTTTACATTAAATTTCGAACAATTCAACCCTTTCCCGCTAAGGCATAATGTAAAAAGTGTTAGGTCTACGTTAATTGTTTTAATCATATTATATAATAATCATGATATTAATATTGTATCATATATCATATCATATAATAATATTAATTGTTTTATCATTAAGTAGAATTATTTTTGTCGGTTTACTTTGTTTGCCACTTAGCAGTTTTACACCGGTCATACGACTGATGTTTGACAAATGGAGTCGGTCTACTTTTTTAATTATTAGTACTGCATTATTTTGTATCCTTAAGCTTACACCAACACCTTAACATATGTGAAAAAAGCAAAATTTTATTTTACAAATTTCGTGGAAAGAATAAAGGAAGTTTTTCGGGTAGGTGGTTATCGATTTAAATCAAATTATTATAACAATTCAAAAGAATCATCTGATAGACCTTGTGTATTATCATATTTTGATGCAAAAAAGGAGAGATAATTTTAACTTTTATAACAGATGTTGGCAAGGGAGGTATGTCTTTTGAGAAATATATGGAGATAAGGAACAGTATTCAAGCTAAAACGTCCATAAAACAATACAAAATAGGAGCAGAGCAAACACGGACCTCCAAAACATCGGAGGTGGGATCCGGTGCCATGGAGGAGTGAGCATCCCCTGCAGACCGGTCACACCCGTCGTGTACTCCTTGTCGTGATCAGAAAAATGGAAGAAAAAACAAAGACAATTCAAAGTAAAACAATGGCGTAGCAATCAGTATGAAAAACAGTAGTCAGCATTTGTCTCATTGATATGTTGTGTTTGCTGCAAAGTTCATTGTATTGACCAAAAAACTTGAGAGAAAATTACTTCAAACGAGACTGTCGATAACTAAGTTTCATTAACTTGTTTGTCAATAGCTTGCCTTATTGAAGAAATTGTCCATACGTACAACATGCTCATTTAAAATAGCGTCATAACGTTATCAAAAGCTTTGTTGTTAGTTTACAGCGACCACTCCTGTCGTCACTAGTTTATGACTAAACAATGAATTTATTGCCGTGTGACAAATCTATTCATATTTGCAAGTTACTAACTTACACTCAAACATGAATAAGATGCTTTATTTTTATTTATAAAAAAAGATTGTATATCCTCTCTTAGACATGAAAGAGAGTGTATTTACAGGTGCTTGAGGTTAAGACCCCCACCCCTCTCATATAGATACCGAGCCTTTCCCACTTTTCCCACCATAAATTATCTCTCTCTCTCTCTCTTCCGGGGTCTATATGTAGAGGGGGGTCCTGACCTCTAGCACTTGTGGTCTTTCTCCCAAATTATTGGCTGTTTTTTTAATATATTTTTTTCGGAATAATCCCATGCATGTATATTGGTTTTGTAAATAAGGCTTGCTCTCTAGTTTCCGGTGACTAGTTCAACAGGTAGAACTTACTATCATACTATGGGTAGCAGGTGGAGGGTTTTACCTAGAATAATTTCTCAATCAGGGCCAAGAAACAGCGCCTCGGTAATATGGCTGCATGGTTCAGGTATTACAAAAGACCGATCTTAAACCTTACCCCCAAACTATTTTGGAATAGCGGACATATTAAAATTAACTACAGACTCTACAGTTCTAGTACTTCTAGCCATTAATCAGATAAATCACTAATTAAATTTTGTTAAATAAGCTTGAATCTTTTCAAATACATTTTGTATAAATTTTGTGTAATGTTACATGTATTCTATTGTCAAGGTGACACGGGGCCTGGTATTTTGGAATGGATAAACATGGTATGGAAAGAAGAGTTTAAGTTTCCACACATTAAATTAATATTCCCATCAGCTGATCCTATGTAAGTTTCTGTTCTCAGATTTTGTACTTAATTTATTAGTTTAAAGAACACTCAAACGTTGTATATATATTTATTTTTAAAGTCCTTACACTCCCAATAATGGTCAGGTATCTACAGTGTGGTTTGATCGACAAAAAATTTCACCCTTTGTGCCAGAAAATTTACCTTCTATAGATGCCTCAGCAACAAAACTGAATGAGCTTATCCAGGCAGAAGTTGATCTTGGAATTCCACTCTCAAGGATTATCATAGGTTGTTGTTTTATTTACATATTTTAGATTTACCAAAATAGAAAAAAAATGTTAGAATTTGCAATAACAACATTTTCATGGATATCATTTGTTTTCATTGTAGATTTTAAAAGATCATTCAAATACAATTTGTTCCTATTTTGTTAGTACAAAATTTATCATTTATTATTGGAAGATTTTAGTTGGTTGTTTATAGGAAATGCTAGTAATGAAGAATTAGAAATTCTGATAAAAAATAATTTCCCTAAGAGAATAGAACCAAATTTGTATCTGATATATACATATGCAATTTTTGGTCAAATACAGAAATTTCATCTGTGTTTTTAAAGAAGTTTTCCACTGTGAACATACCTTAAAGATATGCAGTTTTCTTCAGGTGGTTTTTCTATGGGTGGTGCCATGGCATTACATCAAGTATACAGGTATCAGAAGCAGGTAGCTGGCTGTTTTGCCCTTTCAAGTTTTCTAAATGAAGGCTCTGTAGTATACAAGGTAATGATTCTGAAAGTATGCATATTTTTTTTGGTTTATGAACAATACACATAGCCTAAAATTAATCACAGAAATATGCACACTTGTCTTTCCTGATACACAAATATTATGTTAGAGTTTTTAAACGTTTCGTAAAGAACAATTTAGCCATGTTTAATTACAAATTCAACAGAGGATTTTTTCAAGATGAAATATACATGTATTACATGCAAGTTTTCCCGATTGTTGCTCTTCAAAAGTGATCTTTTATTTGGAATACATTGTACATGTGCCAAACATGTTCCTGTGCAGCTCGTAAACAAGTAAACTTGCCAATACTTCTTAATTTCCTCCAAACTGTAGCTAATTCCAAGAATCCTGTAATGCAACAAGAATTATTTTTTCTCTTCTCTCTACAAATGGTGTACAAACAATGCTTATCTGGTACTAGTAAATAAAGATTCATTGTACTTTAGATTTACCTTACATTGAGCACCTCTTTAACTTTTATTAGTGACAGTCTTTTATGGGTGTATATCTGGCTATACATAATGGAAACACCGAGTCTTGAACCTTCTCTTAATTTAATTTTTCTATTTACAGGAAGTTGAAAATATCCAAAACAAGTCATCCCTTCCCCCGTTGTTTCAGTGTCATGGGACCAGAGATGAATTAGTTTTGTTTGACTGGGGTACAGAGACATTCAAAACATTAACAAACTTGGGCATTTCTGGAGAATTTCAAGAATTTAACATTTTTCATGAATTCAATAAGAAGGAATTGACACTACTGAGAGAGTGGATACTTACTAAATTACCTCCGGATTAAACAACTTAATACCTGTGTGATATATTTCCTTCATACAATCTTCAAAGAATTTAATCACAACCTTAAATCACTTTAAATATTGTTAAGTTTTTAAAGACAAATGAAAATCTACTTGTTTTTGGTTATAAACTTATTGATTTTACTTATAGCAAATATATCTTTTACTTATATTGACTCGATCGGATTTAAATCTTGGGACATAGTGAGCCAATCATGGACGTTGATGTCCTTCGGTTGAAGGAAATGTTATTTCAACCTTGCCGTATGTTCGATCGAATTGTACTGTTGAAAAATTAACCTGCCTTGTTCTTTACTGCTGCAATAATGGTGCTAACACAGGCTGAAGAATTCCGTATACTTACCTACTGGAAGCGCGGGCTCCATTCAAAATGATTAGTTGTTAGCGAAAATTGTGGTTAATTGAACTCCTCCAAATCTGTCGCGTTCTAGGACACAGTTGTCTACAAAACGACTCTAATCTCGACATCAGCGACAGCCGTCTGCGTTGCTAACATTAGATCTCGAGTCATTGAGTCCAATTGGCGGTGATTTAGATTTTGTCTGCCCCATTGCAATCTGTAACAGTGGTGATGCGTCTAAGTTGTATCCCTTGTAAGGTCCTCTGCAGCGGATACTATTACCATGGCGTATTAGTATTCCAGAAACTTTTCATGTACTTAGATTCTAAAAGTAAAAGTTTAAGGCTTGAACAGTTGTTGAAGCGAGGTTGATTCTCACAGAAATTATTTTTGTATTATTCTGATAAGGAACAAAAAATCGGAAAATTAAAAGAAGCAATGATTTATTGCATTCTGATAAACGTGATGACTTCAATTTTTCTATCGTCAACTTCCCCTGCTTGAGTAGCAAAATATCCTTATCACGTGAAATGTCTCCTAAGTTGATTCGATACGCAAGTGCATGTTCCTCGAATGAAAAAATTTTGAAACGAAGAAAGCTCTTGACAAATTGATGAAACTTGGATTTCAATAGCCTCGTTTAAAGTTACATGTATTATTTTGCAAGTTCTATGGTCGATACAATAAACCTGTCAGCAAGTGCAATATATTATAAGTTAAACGTGCAATCGTTAGACAAATATTTACACACTGAATCGTAAACGGATTTTCCGTAAATCCATCATTTGAGGAAGCTATCATATTGTAATTTTTTAATTAAACGGGTGGTAGTAAATACAAAAATTACAATATGACAAAAATTACAATATGACAACTTGTCATATTGTAATTTTTGTATTTACTTCCACCCAGTAAATTAAAATATTACAATATGACAAAGCACACGTAAATCATGCGTACAAGAGTGGCACAAATATTAATAAGGATAAATTGAAGATATCCTGTGTGAATATGTAAAAAAAAAAAAAGTGTGTCCCCATCAGAAACTTGCTACGGGATACTACGTAAAATAGTCTTTTCTAAGAATTGTAATGAAAAGTAGAAATGCTATGAAAGTATATTATTTAGTTCTCATGAAATATGTACAAGTAAAATTCAGTCTTAACTACCCCCAAAACTTCATTTACAATATAATACAATAAATTATCTAATGTAATAAAACGTTTGCAAAAATTTTTATCACATGTGCAGATCCATTTTTGTGCTATATTGAGGAGAAATTATGTGTCCGTTTCGTGTTCAACAGTTAGATAACATTTCAAACATGCTTTATAATAATAAAGGAAAAAAACTCTTCCCATATATATTGGTGTTCATTTATTCGAGGGTTGTTCAAAAAGTTCGTGACGATGTCAATCTTCGTTAAATTACTCACTAGAAGTTTAAAATAAGCACAATGGATAATAATATATCCATATCCATATATAATATAAATATTTGTTTTGTTGATGTGTGAAGTTTCATTCCATTCGATTTAACTGAAATCAATTTACTTCATTTTAAAATCAACATGTTTTGTACCATCTGAGCACACTTAACGGCAATGTAACATCAAAACATAGCGTCAAGAATTTCTAAAAATAAAATACTATCCCTATACATTTCACACAGTATAATCCAATGCCTACGCAGTAAATTTTTTTTTTTTAATACTTGACATCTTTTTTTAAGAATTGCTCTCGTTATATAATTTCCCCTGTTAAGAGTTTTATTTATTGTCTTATTCTACTTTTCTTTCACAGGATAAGCAACTCTGAAGCGCCTATATGTCTTTCCTTGACGTTCCAACTTTTAAAAAAGCTTTTGTTCAGATAAAAAAAAAAAAAGTTTCTTCACAGATTGTCCTAATCCGATACGTCACTCGAATACTGCCTGTACTATTTGTACACACATGCACAACTTGCTTGTGACATATTTTTTTTTATTCCTCCAACATTTTGTAGAGTTCATTTGGGATTTTTCCCGAGTAAAACACAAAACTGCATCGTTATCTGCTGCTACATGACGTTCTAAAACGTCATCGTTTTTGTCGTTTCAATGAGGACAACCTATCTTCTCAAGTTGAGTTCTTTTCAAAAAAGCAAAATATAAAGCCATAATTTGGAATACGAATCGATGTAACAATTCTTAATTTGAATTTCTAGGTTGATTTTCGTTTTTGCTCCATTTTACAGAGAATATGACTATAGACATTATTTAGTGTATTGTTTGTAACTTAATAAATTTTGATCTGCTCCGCGATCCGATTTTTGATTTTTAAAATCTTAAAATCATTTGCATTTATTGTTAAAATATTTCTACTGAATTTGGATAACATACCGGTATGACGTCAAATTTAAAAAAAAAGACATGACAGAAGTCCACGAACTTTTCGAACAACCCTCGTACAAAGTTAAGAAAATGAAATCAAACCTAGCTAAAAATTACGTTCTCTCTTATCATAGCTTCGATGACAAGGAGCATACGGCGGGTGCGACCGGCCGACAGGGGATGCTTGCTCTCCTAAGGCACCCGATCCCATCTCTGGTGTTTTCCATGTTCGTGTAAGCTTTGTTCTCATTTTGTATTGTTTCACTGGGCTTTTGGGGCTAAATTTTAGAAATATTAAATTTAACAAATGTGCATATTTGTAGAATTTTCTGCTAAATATCCTTCCACCACTAGAAATAGTTCCTCATAAATCTTGCTTCTTTATGAATTTTCGAGCATTTTTTTAATTGTATGTTGAACAATTGACATTCTAATTTAAATATGTGATAAAAGATGAATTATAATAAAAAGCTTTGAAGTAAGAGGTTCTGGCTGACATTTCCTAAAAAGCTGACGAGTAAATACTTTAAGATTTCTTGGATGTGCTTTTATGAAGACTTATTATACTATACAGCTAATTAATTTTCGGAGAAATAATAGGTTAATCTTTTTTTTAATTATTTTTTTATCATTTGTAATTTGCTTAATTTTCATTTAAAACATTTACTGAATTTTTATTTAAAACATCTGATAGTATTCAGAATTTAAAAAAAGAATATCTTGAAAAATTGTCCGTGGGAAACATAAATTGTTTGTCGAACCTTTCAAGACCTTTTCATTTCGAAGCCACCACATTCTGGTGAAGGGTTACAAATTAAGACGAACTCGGGGGCTATTCAGTTTTGTGTCAGCACCTAATGCTATATAGAACCTCAATTTAGATAAGGTCTCTAGAAAAAGGACCAATCTCCATGTTTCGCAGTGGAGTTGGAACCCGGATCAGTTGCCGATGGAGAGCTACAAATTTTATCCTATACTCGGCACTCATGGTCATTGAGCAGTGAGGGATCTTTTTCGTGCCAGCACCTACTGCGACGCGGGATATCGGTTAATACGGTCTCATCCGAAGGTCCGGTCTCCACCCATAGTGTGATTTAAATCCGCGACGTAAGGATCGACTCCTTACTTCGCAATTCTAGAGCAATGAAAATATTGAATGTAGATATTAACACTATATTCAACCTCAAAGAAGACAAATTGGGAGCGGTGCAAACAAGGACTTCCAAAAACATCAGAGGTGGAATCGGGTGCTATGGAGGAGAGTGCATTTAATGTCGATCGATCATACTCGCCGTGTGCTCCTTGTTCACGGAAAATCCGTAAACAATTAAGTTGAAATAATGGCATACCAATGTTTGAAAACCGTTAGTAAGTAACCAATTTTATTACGTAGGCATTCTTTGCCAACAAAGCCACTGTGTCGATCAAAAACTTGCAAAATAATAGCTTCAAACGAGACTGTTGATATCTTTGTTTCATTAACTTGTTTGTCAATAGCTTGCCTTGCTTTAGAAACTGTTCGTACATGAAGCATGCTCTTTCGTACAGAATCAACTGAAAGAAATTTAATCCACATGCAGGAGAAATGGACCCAAAACAGGTTTACAGGTAGGTCTCTGGTGACAGCCTTATGTGGTGACCAGGATTCGAATCCCAATGCGGGACGTGGAGACCGGTCCTTCGGATGAGACCGTATACACCGAGGTTCCGTGTCGCAGTAGGTGCTGCCACAAATAGATCCCTCACTGCTCAGTGGACGTGGGTGCCGAGTATAGGACAAAAATTGCAGCTATCCACCAGTAAGTGTTGGCGTCTCTATATGAGTGTAAAATTCTCCTGATAGACTTCAAACAATATACAAACAAAAATATACTGAAAATTTTATTCACATAATGTAACACTGAACCATGCGCATGGATTCTGCGCAGTCAATATTTTTTTTGAAAGATCACCCGTCGTCAACCAATGTTGACTGTTGCTATGCTGGTGGGCGTGGTTTCATCAATCAGAAATAGTGTTTTTTAACAAATGTTTCTTGACGAATCAGATTTAACTTCCTTGCATAAAATTATAATACTGAGGACAGTTTATCGAATTTATTTGCAGAAAATTCTATAAATGCAATTTTAAATGTTCACATAATAATTAATAAAATGTCAACAGATTGAAAATTAATAAAGCTATACTAGATGAGTTAATATCATTGATTTTCCGCCATTTAACAATTTGAAATTCTTCCAGCTCCAGATGAACACCTATAAGTACCGTCGCAATCACAGATACACGTATACCTGATGCAATTCTCCACAAAATTAAATGCTGAATATGCAAATATTGGATTGCGCGTTATTGGGTGATGGCATATTCCACAGTTTTCGGTGCAGATGGAATAAGTTTTGGAAGGTGGACAGACTGCAGTTCCGTTACATCTACAGAAACAAACTTCCCGGGTACATTCATCTACTTCCGTTTCGAAACTGGACAGATATAAGTACTCCTGATTTCTGTAGTTACAGTTCTTGCACAGTGGTTCCACAACAAACACGACGGTTGTAAGAAAAATGATCCCGTAACCAACAATCTAAAAACAATCAACCAGTATTGAAGCGATAACATAAACGATTTCTATTCATTATATTTAGAATATAAAATGATTGTTTCTTCAGAACATATTTGATTTTCAATAAGTGTAACTGTATAACTGTTTAACAGTATAACTGTAAAATTTTACATTAATTCTAAACGTACCCTCATCATGTTGTGAAGTTTCGGAAGGACTGCCTTAGTTCTTTTCCAGAGTTTGTTTACTACGGTGGTACTCCCTCTCAATAACAAATCAACAAAGTAATTATAGGAAGTAAACAAAATAATGATTTCACTGGACACGATGCCTCGCTACTTCCAATTAATAATTTCCCTATAGAAATTCGCGGGAACAGGGCGATTTGCTTATCACCATATCTGGGTAATTGGAATAGACAATGCATCCACATAATACAACCATGCATTAACAAATTACGTAAACATTTTGTGTAGTGAAATTTTTCTAAACATGTCTGGCAAAGTGGTGTGCTCTATGAAACAGTTTCTGAATTTCCGAGGAAAATCGCCCTTGAAATTAACTGATATTACTGGACTACCAAAAGCTTTTAGAGAAGAATTAATGTTCCTTATTTTAATTTCCAAGTTATCCCAATTTGAAATGAATGTTCTTTCAGGAAAGGACATAGATATTTGATAGAGAAATTATGAAATATTGTGCGATATCATAGGTATTTTTGAAGAAAAAAATATCTATTTTTTCGAATCCCCCATTTGGCTCAAAGCAAAAAAACGGAAAAAAAATTTCTCACATCTGCCGGAAACCATGGATCATTATCTAAAAATGAATTGGCTCCTGTATAGTAAAACTTATGAAAGTTCTGGGAACCATATCTATGCTTTGCTCCCCACACTTTCCGCAAAGGACACCATCTATGTGTATATAAAATTGTATATAAAAGAAAAAGAAAGAGAAAATATATATATATAAGAAGTTCTGGGAAGCTGGAAGAAAAGTCCTAACCATTTTGCCTTCAGGGCAAAATAAAAATACGAAACCTTTTAGCACATATACATTACACGTATTATAATCTCCAGGAAAAAGAATACTGATGAAAAAAAAGAACAATTCTCGAAACCCATTTTTAGATATAAAAATGAGCATCGTTAGTAGTATAAGCCGCCTAGATGGCCGGGTCAACTGAATGCACTTTTGGGGCTGGGGGGGATAGCCGGGTCAAGCGAGTGCAGCCCCTGGGGGGGATAGCCGGGTCAACTGAGTGCAGCCCCTGGGGGATAGCCGGGTCAAGAGAGTGCAGATTAGGGGTCTGTGGGGGATAGCCGGGTCAATTCATTACATGTAGCCCCTAAATACGGGGTGTGTTTACATTATACTATATACGCAAGCTACTACGATTTTGGCAGCGACTTTTATACCTGTTGCATCATCTGTAAGGGCCGTGTGCACCAATACGTTTTACCTACGTTTTTTTATGCTGACTACACAGGTAATACTTGGCAGCGATTCAAGTTTGTTTAGGGCCGTGTGCAAAAATACCATAGACTTACCTATGCATTGTGACGTCATCCACTGTATAAATACGGCTTTTCTCCGACTTTCGGCTCATTCTACAGTCAGAACCAGCTCCCTGCCGGGGGGTCACGGATTCTACTAGAGAAAAACAGTTACATGCTCAACGATTATTAGAATGTAAAAAAAGGGAAAGAGAATTAGAACGAATTCTTTATGAGAAAAGAGAGCAAGAGTTAAAGCTCCGGGAAAAAAATGCTAAAATATTT